AAGGTTTGGTTTCCCATCTTACATTATTGGAATTTCAGGAGGGTACAGCAAGGGGCAAGTTATGGGAAAGAAACAAAATCCACACACAAATTTCCCCAAACCTGAAAATAAATAAAACATATTATCAGAATGTTTTCTCTATAAAGTATGCTCCACAATGAGGTAAAAGATTATATTATAATGATACCTAGCTGTTTATTCTGTATTTAATAGTGCTTTTAGCTATAGCACACATGCCCCAGTTCTTTGCTCCAAACCAGAATTCAACTTGTAGCCTTACAACAAACTGTCTAGTCAACTTGGCCAGAAACTGTGAAGAAATTTGGCCTTAAAATGAAGAAACACCTTCAAACATTTGCAATTTCACAAGTTTGTGGTGTTTTGATGTGTCCTCCGAGGGCTTTTGAGCCTTTGGAGTTCTTTTTCTTCCCATTACTACTGGAAGAGCCAGAAAGGTATAATGGGCTGAAGGGAAAGCAATTTGTTTCCTGCTAGAAGTGCTGTCACACTGTTTCCACTGCGAAAGGCCCACACATGCTGCATCATTACAACTTCCTATCTTAGAAAATGAAAAACTCAATCTAAACTAAAAGCTTTTAACATAAGTTAAGAAAGTTTAAAAATAAGTGTATTGTCCTATATGTTGCTAAAGCAAAAGATATAGATACTCATTACTCCTAGTACTTTTTTCTAAAGCTTTTCTGTGAACACTTTTCCAAGAAAGGGATCCCAAGAAAGTCACAGGATGTACTAAGTTTCTGCCAGAAAATTTGCAGTTGCTTCTGAAGTGTTCCACTGTGTATAAAGGAGAGGAAGTAGAGCAAGGCTCAAAACAGCTTTAGGCAAGAATGGCTGAAAGGATGTTGCAGAGAGGGCTGCAAACCAATTACTGCATGATGGAATAAAACCAGATAATGGTGGACACCAATAAGCGACTTGCAGTGCAGCTTGGGAGACTGATTTGTTCTTCTAGCTCGCTTAAGCTGCTGGAGAGTTCAAGGTGAAACCTAATGATTCATGTCTGCCAGCCAAATGAATCATTCAGTACTGGACAGCTATCAAAACTGGACTGTTTGGCTATTTGGAGAGAGTGCAAGCAGCAAAAAAAAAAAAAAAAAGAAAAAACCCAAACTGCTCAAGTTCTGAAAGCTCTGATTGGCACCAAGCAGCACACACCACAGAAAACATGGCAAGTTCTCTGGAAATATAAACAAGTTTTTGACAGCCAAGGCCAAAGTGTGGTCTGTCAATTCCCTGGAAGAAAAGGAAAAGATAATAAGTTATTTGGGAGTAGAAACTTGTCTGGGAAACAATTAATGTAATAGTGGGGATGGGAACCAAACAAAATTATGCATCACAGCAAATAATAGGATTCAAAATGTACTGGGTTTGCTTGGCCAGGTTTTGGTATCGAGGGCGCTACACGAGTGGCTTCTGTGAAAAGCTGCCAGAAGCTTCTCCCATGTCCAACAGAGCTAATGCCAGTGCCAGGAGGGACACACCACTGGCCAATTCCAATCAGGAATGATAGTAACACATCTGCAATAATATATTTAAGAAAAGGTTATTGTGCAGATTTAATGGCACTCAGACACAAGAGGAGTGAGAATATGTGAGAGGAACACCTCTGCAGACACCAAGGTCAAGTGAAGGAATGGGAGGAGGTGTTCCAGGTGCCAGAGCTGACATTCCCCTGCAGCCTGTGGTGAAAGACCATGGTGAAACAGGCTGTTTCCCTGTAGCCCACGAAGGTTAATGGGAGTGCAGAGATCCACCTGCAGCCGGGGAGTGCAGAGATCCACCTGCAGCCTGTGAAGGAGACCCATGCTGGAGTGGGTGGATGTCCAAAAAGAAACTGTGAACCCATGGGAAACCTGTGCTGGAGCAGGCTCCAGGAAGGGACCTGCAGCCCCATGGAGAGCGGAGCCCACACTGGAGCAGGTTTGCTGGTAGGACTTATGACCCTGTGGGGGACCCACACTACAGCAGGCTGTTCTTGAAGGACTGCATTCTGTGGAAAAGTGACCCATGCTGGAACAGTTCATAAAGAACTGTAGCCCATGGGATGGACTCACGCTGGAGAAATTCATGGAGAACTGTCTCCTGTGGAAGGAACCCCACACTGGAGCAGAGGAAGGACTCTTCTTCCTGAGCAGTAGCAGGAACAGCGTGTGATGAACTGACCATATACCCCTTTCCCACCTTCCTGTGCCACTGTGGGGGAGGAGGTAGAGCCTGGAAAGGAGGAAAAGGTGGGGAAAGGTGTTTTTAAAAATTTTTTTACTTCTCAATTACCCTGCTATGATTTTTTGGTAACAAATTCAGTTAATATTCCTAATTTGAATCTTTTCTGCCTGTGACAGTAATCGATGAGTGATCTCTCCTTGTCCTTATCTCAATTCCTCACCTTTTGTTATATTTTTCTCTCCCCTGTCCTGTTGCAGAGGGGAGTGATAGAGTGGCTTTGGTGGATACTTGGCACAAAGCCAGGGTCAACCCACCACAAAAAGCATACTGAAAAATCAAGTTGCTGGTGACAGACCAACAACAGGGCTGCAGTATGACTGTTTTATATCTGCAACAAAAGCCAGGACATGTTATAGTGACACACATGCAGTGGAGTTGGTCAAAGTCTACAATAGCTGTTATTGCACACCATTAGCAATTCTAAGCAACCAAAAAAAAAAAAAGTCAAATCCAGACAACATAAATCTTAACTTGTAAGGAGATTCGTACCTATGAGAACATTTCACTCCATTCCTCAAAAATTCATTCCAAAATCAATTTAGGTCTTATGATATCTAGTTGGTCCAAAATCAATCAAGTCTTCACTACAAGTGCCATGTAAAAACCACAAATCAACACTGATTTGTGGATAACATAGAAAGGGCATGATTCTGGGGAAACACAATGTGCTTTCCAATTTTCCTATGTTCCTACAAAAATCAAATACATAGTGCATCCACCAATGTGAAGAAGGATGCTGAACATCCATTGGCATTCTCCAGACTTTATGTATGCATGAAAATGCACCGCTTGCTCTTTTACCTGTTTCTTTCTGCAGAATAAACATAGCATAGAGAAGAATTCCTTATACTACCCTGTTGTCCTGTGTAGCTATGAAGAATGTTCTCTTATGTCTCCTTTAAAATAAAATTTTTTAAAAATTAGAATCTTAAGTTAGTCTTCTGCAGAACTGCTACTCTCTAGGGAACTCCAGCACAGCAGAAAAAAAAAAGTAATCCTGAATAAATCAGGAGAAAAATACTGTTAATTATTTCACTGCTGTTAGTCTCACGTGCATTTCTGTGGCACTCCTGTGTTAGACATTGAAAGTATCAGTATATGTGCCTGCAATCTCAAGAATCCTTTACCTTTCAGCAATGAAATTTACAACAATAGGATATGAGGAAATGGAACAAAGTTGCACTGGGAAAGTTCAGATCGGACATTAGGATGGGTGGTTGGATATTGGAACACGCTCCCCAGGCAAGTGATCAGGGCACAAATCCTGTCAAGAGTTCAGGGAGTGTCTGGATGATGCTCTTATTCATACAGTTTAGTTTTAGGTAGTCCTGTGGGGAGAAGGGATTTAGACTCAATGATCCTTTAAAATGAGATATACTGTGACTCTATGATTTCCTTCAATAGATAACTTTGTCGTAGCTTTTCTAAAAAAAAGAAGTCCATATTTAGCACACAGCTGCTTCATTACAATTAATTAAGACACTTTTTAGCAGTCTGTGAGATAAATGTCTATACAACTATAACACATTTGTACATTTACAATAAGACTTGTTAGATCTTGATGTTAAAAATGAGAGTATTTTTCTTTTTCTTAAGTTGTGTGATATTATTTCTACAGCACCAAATCCTGGGACCTTGGGATTAGGACAAAAATTTTTGAATTTGAACACACTTATAAACAAATTTGTCAGACCTCATGGCTGAAACAGTAATCTGTAAACATAATTCAAGTATACCCTGAAGGTTTAGAGATTGAACTAATATTTTATTTTGGGAGTGTTGAATCATGATTTTTCAATACTTTGAGCTGGCAGCTGCAAGACACTTGCAAGCTGGAATTCCAATCTAACGAGTAGCCGATAGAAATATTCAGAATATCATTAGAAATTTTTCAAACTTGAGTCAATCCATATCAGAAAGTTTACAGAGATAAAAAAAACCTCGAAAATATCGCTGAGGCAACAGGAAGTATAAATTCTTAAAACCTCTTAATATTTCTATTAGGGGGGAAGGGAGTGGGGTGGGTGTATGTTTGTTTGTTTTAGAAAACTAACTGCAGTCTCTCAGACTTTAAAATGGTGAGTACTGCAAAGACAAGAATAGACCTACTTGATGAAAGTAGTTAATGGTTTTTTGCACTAAAGAATATTTGAGAAGATAAATAATAGGCTAGCACGTGAAAAATATGAGAAATGCTAGGCTTATGTTGTGGACTATATTGATATGTTTCATATATTTTCTTTCCTCAAAATTTTCCCACAGAAAAGATATACCATCTCCAGGACAAAGCATTTGCCTAGTTTCACAGACCATTACATTTTTTTTCATCCCCTGCACTTTTGTGCTAGTAACCACTTATACTGCTTTTTGTGCCGTACTCATGTATTTTACTAAATATATCAGCTTCATCCCTTCAACCCTGTAATGGCAGACTATTAAAATAAAATATACTTCTATGCAGTGAACCTTTTGTTCAGATGTGGGTTTATATGTGGAAAAACGTGAGGAAATTGCTGCCATACTTCTACTACTCTTTCATCTGAATGAAGAAAACAGATATGGCCGAAAAAACCTCCTTAGATTAGCTAATGTGTCCCACATACATTTCTTCCAGTCCATGCATCCATGCATTATAATAAACCACATATTGCACTAAGTTTAAAGTGAAATTGCAATCACATAAACAGGACAATGATACATTTGGTTTTAGCACATCATAATTAACTTTTTCTTTTTAAATTGACTAGACTGACCTGTTAGAAGAGAAACTGTAATAATCACTTTCCTCTAGAACCTCTTCAATTAGAGTCTACAACAAAAAAGAACTTAGTTTCAGTAAATTATCTTCATTAACAGTAATAAATGAATACATATAGGTATACATACAGCTTACCTGCAACTGCTCATATGTCACCCCTTCTGCCATGTCAGAAGTGCCAACCATGCCTTAAAGAAAAAGGCAAGTAATGTTATACTACTGAATTTGGAATTTATGATCCCTTATAAGTTTCTTAGCAATTCCACTACAAATATAACGATAAGAGAGATGCTTCATTATCAGTAACTTCCACTGATGAACCCCTGACAAGGTGAGGTCATCTAATATGAACATTTGCATGATGCGAACATTTGATGCGCTTATTATGAAAGTGGTCAAACTGATGGAAAATAAAGACTTTATCAAACAGAACATGGAAATGTAACTTTCTTATTTTTTCCCACTTACAATTTACAGTGGGAAGGGCACAGAGTCAGCAGCAATTTGTGAGGACAAAAGTATTGTCTGCAGGTTAAGGGATTCAAAAATTACTGATAATGAGCATTTCAAAAATTGCATTGTCTCTGGGAACAAAATAATGCTTATATTTAAAGTGATTGTTAGGGACTCATTTCCTACTCAAATATCACCCTTGACATCTAGTATTAATTTTGGTTTTTGCAATAAGCTGTGTAACTGATGTAACTACAATGTTTCAACACAAAGCCCATAAAAACCAAAGCTTCTCACTTTTCTTTCTGGCATCACAGATTTCTAACAGCACTTCCTGTTGTTGCTTTTAATAGTTTCTATAACTATTTTCTTCAAGTTGGAAATACCCAGAATTGCACACAAAATTTGAAACATTTTAAATTTGCTACCATTTACATTTTAAATAGAGTATTTCTTCCCTTTTCTTGAGGTTTAAATCCAATAGTTTTAAAGCTAACACCATTTCACATTTGTTGATAACATTTATGAATAGTTTCATTTATTTCTAGACACTTAAAAATTAGGTTAATTTTATAATAAACATATCCTTTTTCTTACCCTATTTTGGGCATCCTTTTCTGAAAACATCAACTCAATACACAATGAGCAGATATTTCTTAGATTTAATGTTATGGGTGAAATACAAGAATTGTTTAATATATAAGTCCCAGCCTGATTTACAGTTTTCAAATTGGCATGAAACCAATAGCTCAGAAAGAAACATCTTTAATTATCTTTCTAATGTACTACCAAGGTAAACCAAAGTAAACACTAAGTAACCACCTTCCATGAAGCTTAAGCATCTGAGGTTAATTATTACAAAAGCATAGGAAGGATCCAGCATTTGGGGTCAGTCTATTTTGTAGCAAACAATGATGCAGAAGGTTCCACAATTCAGCATAAGTAGGTAACAATCAAATTAGGTCACACAGGAGAATTATGTGAATGATAATAAATCACCTTAGTCATCAAATTTTAGGTACAATAAAATACCTAATAACTGCTTTGTCACTAATTCAGTCTTAGCTTCAGTCTCCCCCAGTGCACAGATGACAAGGAAGTAATTTTCAGATCCTTTGCTGATTACAGTGTTCTCAGGAGATTTTGAAGGAACATGTAGAAATTCTGATATTATTGTTAGCTCTTTCTCTGTTGGAGAGCATCCAGCCTGTCACTGGAAAATAAGTAGGCACGGTTCTTTAGTCAGGCCATTCTTGCAAATCTGCAGTGGTTTTAAAATGATGACACTAAACTGTTGCTGACACACTATGCAACCCTGGGACAAAGTATGTTATACTCAAGGCTCTCTGGGACATTGCTTTCTTAAAATTAATGGTTTGAGTAGAAATACATTCCAAAAAATGAAAAATACTGAGAAACTATTCACAAATTAAGAAGAGTTTACATAAATTAAGAGCTTACATAAACTCCAGTTGCATTTCCCTTCATCTCGTCTTTATGAGCTCTGATGAGATGAAGTCTGATTTTGTGTGCTAGAAGCTTGCGGGTCCTTTCCATTAACAAAAAATGTTCTAATGATGAGACAAAAACTTGAAACCAACCTACAGAAACTACTTACTTAATGAACCTCCATATTTGCCAAATAAAAGATATCTAGAGAATATTCTAAATATTTCCTTTTAAAAATTGACTCTTACACTTATATTTTTGTGATACTAATATCGATAGCATAATTCAAATAGAAAAAGGGACAAATTCAATGTAATAAATGGTGTGCTACACCTTTTTCTATTCTGATTTCAGATTACAAGGATTGCTCTGCTGACTGAAGAGGGACTTCTTGAGCCTCTCAATGATTCTCCTTTTCAAGTTGCATTGCAAAGCTGGAGGAAGCTATATGAAACAAAGAAACAGATGTTTCCACCACTCAGTTACACCTTCCATAAAGGTGACCCATGCAGCAGTACCATTATTGAAAAAAGTATCTACACTTCAAAAAGAAACACTGATATCTAACAGCATGGTGATAAACAACAGCACAAGACTTGATTTAATAGCATATTATAATAAGGCTCCTTGGTTTGCCCACTCTGTTGGCTTATCATATAACTCAGTTCCTCTAGCGTTGAAGGTAAACACCATAATAACAAGCCTAACATAGGTGCAACTAGATTTGCCTCCCTGATCAAAGTGCTAGTATTTGGGACATTTAGGACTTGAGCACAAGTCCTATGAGGAGAGGCTGAGGGAGCTGGGGTTGTTCAGCCTGGAGAAGAGGAGGCTCAGGGGAGACCTCATCACTCTCTACAACTCCCTGAAAGGAGGTTGTAGCCTGGTGGGGGTTGGTCTCTTTTCCCATGCAACTATCAGCAAGACAAGAGGGCATGGTCTTAAGCTGTGCCAGGGGAGGTTTAGGTTAGATATTAGGAAGAATTTCTTTACAGAGAGGGCAATCAGACATTGGAATGGGCTGCCCAGGGAAGTAGTCGATTCTCCATCCCAGGAGGTTTTTAAGATAAGACAGGATGTGGCACTTAGTGCCATGGTCTAGTAACCACAGTGGTAGTGGATCAAGAGTTGGACTTGATGATCTCAGAGGTCCCTTCCAACTCAGCTGATTCTATGATTCTATGACATTTTTCTATAGATAAAGCCCATCAACCATTAGACTATGGTTGTATGGCTGTAATGAGTCGATTCAGTTGAAATTAATGGAATTTCAAGAAGCTTAGACCTTCATTCAATGTGCATAGAATTGCTTCAACAGGTCTTTTAAGGTCATTATGGCTGTTAATACAATTCAGAATGTCTCTTTTGCTAGAAGCTACCTGTGGGAAGTAATCTATATTTCACTTGTCTATAAAGCATAACTTATTTTGTATACTTTTTCCTCCTGTATTTTTTTGGTTGAAAAAGAATAGATATTTCATCTACATTTACATTTTTTTAAAAAGTACAAATCATACTTTATAGTGCTTAAAGTCTTTAATATGGAGTTCAAAGGATGTCTCTTCCTTTTAAATATTTTTTATGCTGCAGCAGTAAATGTAAAGTTTCCACTATTGGGCACGGCAATGACACAAACTCAGTCTGACAACAATTGGATGATATGTTACTACCTTTTTGAAACCATGGTCTATGCTGTTTCTGTAGTTGCTTATACCTGCAGGCACCGTTTGAAAAAATATGATTTTCTACCATTTAGTATACACTTTATACTCACATCATTGATATAAATTCATAAAGTGCCACTCCACTGCATTCAGAAGCTCTTTGACTACTTAAGGATGGTTTGACCACTAACAATTCACATTCAAACACTGACACAGTACACATCATAAAGACATTTATCCCACTGGAACAAATTACTGTTTTTAGACAGCTATAAATCCAGAACAGTTTTATTGGGCCCACAGGAGTCCTGATTTGCTCTGACAAACCAGAGATCAGTCACATTCTGTGCACAAAAGACTTCACTAGACAGCTGGTTGCATACAGGTTTTTGGTTACAGACAGATACTACTCTCTTTTCATGCAGATAAGGCCTTACATATACGCTTTAAGTCAGGTGTTGAATGTTCCTTAGCCCATAAGCCAGCAAAAAAAATTATGCCTTAGGAAAGGCTTGCAAGATGCTCTATAGATTACATACCAGTGCAATCAACTGTGTGCAGTTAATGTACCGTGGGCATACTGGGATATACTGAAGCAGAAGTGGTAAAGAACAAGTCCACTGCTTCAGAAACTTGGAGTTGCCTTAGGCACTAGTGTTCAATTTTAGCTTTTGTTTTAAGGAAATCAGCTGTCAGATCAGTTAAAAAAAAAAAAAAAAAGGCCAAGGATTTACATAATGCTTTTTTAAAAGCTTTTTTTTACATTGTTTTCCAGAGATCACTCTGATTCTTGTTCCCATGGAAACTGGGTTGAGAAGGCTGCTAGCAGCCAAGAACTAACAGGCAAGACTCTCCCTTGCAAACTTCAGTTTAGAATTGTCAGCTGAAATATGTAAAAGAGTTTGATAAACCAACTATATATTATAAAAAATATTTGACCTTAGACTGGTAAGAACACAAACAAGTACAAGAGAAGCATATAGTACAGCGTAAACAAGTACAGGTATGGATCCTGGTTTCTCTGCTTTCCCATTCTGAAACCAAATGACACCAAAAGCATCAAAGTTCTTGCTGCTGCTTCACTGGTCAATTCTGAATCAGTTTGTGAGCTGCTGTTAGTTCTCAGTTATTGGGCATCCACTTTCTGATATCTTCTATTAATTAGTAGGCCACTTAATAAAACCTTCAACAGAGAGGCCAGGTTCACTAACGAGCACCTTGGACATACTCCTAATACACCATGTAAACACTGAACTGCCTTGTTACTGCTAGTGGGAGAGGGAGATAATTTCCAATTATTTTAAATTATGATTATTTCTTTGTCTCTGATAATTTAATTCCTGTGTTACCTGTTTTGACAAGCTTGACAGCTAAAAAGAATAAAAAAAAAGAAAGAAAAGAGACATGCAAAGCATGCTCAAGTTCAGTTATGCTATTCTGTTTTAAACAAAACTGAACAAATTTGGCTCATCAATCTGAAAATCCCTGAGGTGATAAACATCACATGCCGAAGATAAACACTTCATTTTGGAAAACAAAAAGAGATTTATTTAAGAATAGCAAGATTTATTTAAGATGGCTGCCATCTTTCCAGAGAATAAAAAGTTTTCCATCACATTTTTAGTGAAGAGTTCAATGTATATTTGTATCAGCTCCATTTTTGCTTTGGAATCAGCATGAAATAACTTCAGCTCTCTTTCATTATGAAGCATTTCAACTTAATTTTAAAATAAGTCTTAAGTTTGAAAAAGATCTGACATTTAAAAACATTTCAAACATTTAACATATTCAGGATTTGAACTATTGCACTAAAATCCCATGAAAGTATTACTACTTATTGATAATAAAAAAATTTAACTTTGAAGTTATTTAGGAACTATTGCTACAGAGGAAAGCATTTTATATACTCTCCAAGTCAGTATATGATATTGTCACCTTAAATAATCGTATTGCTAGTATGATGGAATGTTGTAAAAATAATTTACTGTACAACCCATTTTTCTGAGGTGAGCCACTGATTTTTTTTCACATGACTCAATTATTGCCATCCTCCACATACTAATATTCAGGGTTAGTCTTTATTTAAATGATATATTTTTAAAGCATCCTGCCATCTGCAAAAATGTCAAGTTCTGTTGTTTTTAAAGAACAGTGACTAAATTAGCAGCACTTTGCAGTACCATCATTTTGACAACAGCAAATAACTAAAAAGCATAGAATGTCAGAAGCAACAGTAATGCATACTTGAGTGATGAAGATAATTTTGTAGAGCTGAATAAGACTCTGCTGAACGGGGTCACTGATCTGACACACCTTCCTTTGTGATACAGCAATTCCAGCTGATGCTGTAGATGACAAGAGTAAAATCAGGAGGGCAGCTCATTTTGTTGCCTTAGTACAGTAATAGCATACATTGTTTAAAATCTGTAGATATAAATGCTAATGTTGCTGAATTTCTGTGCTGGCTACTTTAACAAGAAGTAGAAGACAGACATTCACAAACTGAAGTGTCTAGGGACCATTCAGTTCTGAGCTGTGCTATCACAGAAATAGAGAGTTACAGAAAATGTCCTTTTCTGTCACAGAGGGGACACGTTTCCAATAGGATCAGGAAGATGATGATGTCATTGCTGTTACTGGGGGGGTTTTGTGGCCTTTTGGCAGATGTGTTGACAGAGTCAAGTGAAATTCAGTTTGACACTTTTTCCCTAAGTCTTGTCTTAATGATGAGTAAGAGGAAAAGTCTTGCATTTCCCCTGAGTCACTTAGAGAAGAATTTAGATTGTTTTTTCTGGTCAAGGTGACAGTGGAAGCCATGCTGTAATAATCTAAAATACATACCACTGGAAGAGCAATTTGGATTTAGCTATTTCTGCCCCATTTTCACCTCTCTACCAACTGTTTCAACACTGTTCTATTCAATCCCCAGTCTTGCTGTTATGACCTGTGAATCTTCAGCTTTTATTAGGACAGTCAGAAAACCTGTATTTTCTTGGCATGTTATCTTTTTTGCTATTCCCTGTTCTGTGGTATTTGTCTTCTCTTTTCCTGTCAATGGCTTGTATAACAAACCAAAAGAAAACAAATCAGTGCCCTTTCTTTTGTGTGCCTTCAGATTTTTTTTCTGAATAAAAATATGTTTAGAATGATAACAGCAAACAAAAATGACTGAGTAGGATATAACATGGATTTCCCTGTTATTCAGTGTACAGAGCTTTCTCTCTTTTCTCGTATGACAGCAACAACATGACCTAAAAGCTGTAAAACAGAACTTACTATAGACAAAAAGCACTTTTTATGATCAATATCTCAACTGCTCAAAATAATTTTCTTTCAAGTATTATTTAATTCAGGCAATATGCATTCTGAAATCACAGCTTAGCAGCACACAGTATGTGAAGCTTCTCAGTAAGAAAGAAACGTACCTCAAATAGAAAACTTGTTTCATCAATCACAGTATATAAATACACGATAATTTACAAGGGCTCTATGAAAACTCATTTATCAGGGGAAATTCTAATTGCATTCAGCAGAAGTTTAGCCAGCACAATGACCATTAAAATGAGGTCTTACTGATTTACTATTGGAATTCATATTTTTAAGAAGTACCTTAATGATATTTCAGACAACATACTTGTATGTGAAATGTAATTGTCTCATTTTCTAATATTTTAAAATACAATTATTAGATAAAACCATAACATTTCATATTGTAAAGATCTGCAACTGGTAGACTATGACAAAACACTCTATATGCAACAGGAGAATAATGTAATAATGTTTAAAAACTTGAAAATTGTTAGGTTTAATTTAAGTTAAAGTTTTAATTTCTTGCAAGCACGAAATTACCTCGTCGCAGTCTTGATCCAGGACTGTCAACATAATCTCTATCATTATTTGGAAAAAAAAAAAAGGTTTTAATTATGTTTGGCATCAACGACTGTAAATAAAATAACAGTATTTCCTGACTACGTCTCATGTTTCCTCTAGAGGAAATCTGTCCAAATCCCCTTGTTTTTAACTGTGCATTTTTAAGTTACATAAAGGCTGGCTTACTCTGCGTGTCCAGCATAACTTCTACTAAATAAAAGTTTCTTTCCCTGCTCAGTTTTCAGCCTGGAACACACAAAGTCTGTAGAGAGGATTTTAATACTGAAAACTCAATAATCCACTAGATTATGCACTTGTACGTGTTTAAGGACCTTTTGGTTAACCCTTCTTATGGATGGAAAACATGAAGAATAATTATTGTTTAGAGAAGAAAAACACAAGTAATGATGCATACAGTACTGGTAAAATGGGGGAAAAAAATAATATTACATCACGAGGATAGCAATATCTCAATGTCAGAAATACAGGTCTACATGTTTCAATGTTAGATCCTGCTCTGTACTCTACACAAACTCTTTCCCAGCTGGCAGATTTCACTAGCTGAAATAAGTAATAAAAAACGAATATGAACAGAGAGGAAACTGAATGAACCGATATGATGTCCTGATGGGTGCCAGCTGTGATAGTCTTAGTATGGTAAGAATTGGTATATATTTTTGTGGCAGTAGGGAAAACTACAGTTTCAAGGAGTAGTTATGAAGACAGATAAGGAGATAGCTTTTCTAATGATTATGTGAGGGACAGAGATTTGTGGACGAGTGAATTTGTACAGAGAGAAAAAGACGTGCTGGCTTCAACACAAGCATGAGGAGGCTGCCACTACTGACTGCAACAGGACCAAAGCTGTGAAGTGATAAGTGACAGACTGGATGGTGACATGCTAAGAACCACTCTCAAAGCAAAAATAAAATATTGCCTTTGGTTAAAATGGTGTCTGTGGAGAAACACCAGAGGAATCAATGCCATCATTATAAATACTTACACAGCTAAGTTAAAGGTGAAAAGAAAAAAATTGTTCAGGAGGCAGATGCAGCCAAGAGTCATTTTGAAGGTTTTTCTCAGATATGAAAGAAAAGCAGAAATAAAAAACAAAGAACAGAGTCTGTGAGTAAGAGTGGTGCCAAGGAGATCAGAAAAAATAATGGTTGGTCAGGAATGTGTTTGATGCAGTACTAAATAAACAACAGAAGAATAAGGAAGACCTTTAGAAGAGGAAGAGGGATGACGTGACACATTCTGCTTCTTTTGTTTCCTTTTCTGAAGTAAATGGGCCTCCACAATACAAAAAATGGGTTTCTATGTTTGTATAGAAGGTCTAGAGAAGTTCAAAGGGAAAGATCTTACTCTACGCTACTACAATATACTCCACACTATCCAATACACAAACACATTTTTGTATGGAAAAACATCTGCTTAAAAACACAAAACCAGAATTTGGCTGACCAAATAACATTGGTTTAGCTGATGCAGCAAAGTCCATTTTTAAAACTATTTATCACGTAAAACTTTTGAGTGCAAGCACCCTCTTACAACATTTTCAAGCAGACTGAGTGTTGTAGGCTGATACAATATGACTCTGTAATGGTAAGTAAGGAACTGTTTCATGAAGGAAATTGCAGAATTGTTTCACTGTGAATCAAACAACTGGAATTGATCATAACAGTGATCGATTATATAATTTATATTAAAAATATAAATCACACCTACCTTATCTTTGGTTGTCTTCCAGAAGTACTAAAACTTTGTTTAATTATACCTGAAACAAGGACATAAACATCATCTTCTGCTTAAAAAGACCCCAAAACATGCATGTTAATATTTTCTATTTCCCAGACATGGTGTCAAAATAAATTTTAAAAAACAGTGTTAAGCAAACATCGAGTTACTGTTTGATGCATTGAAGATTTTCCTACATCATAAACTAAAATCTCAGCCCCACACAGTATTTCAAGAAACACTTTCAGAATTTCACAGACACTAACAATACATATTGACTAGATGTCCACAGAAGATTTGCATTCAATTATTACAGTTACTGCTACCGCTATAACGACAACATTGTTGATAGTCTGGATAGAGTCCACTTTTTTAGGGGACCTTTGAGGGGTTGTCTAAACCTTGTTCCACCAGGGTTTTATTGCCACCATTCTATTAGCTAACTATTCATATGCAGTAACATCTACAATACCTCACTTCTTATATAATCCTACTGAATTTAAGACTTTGAAGACCAGTTATTGGTCCAACATCTAATAAGCAATAAAACTGTATGTAAACATTAACATAATTAGTGCATAGTGCCAAAAATGTCTAAAAGGAAGGGTAATGTTATTATTTCTACACTTGGAAAGCATTGCCTTAAATCTTAGTCTTAAGCATTTGCCTTAAAACACTCCTGTAAAACCACTCTTTTCATGGTCATTTGGACGTATGAGACCACTCTGTCCTACAAATAGTATCTCAGTTTGAATGACGAATAAGTGTATGTTTAATGAAAAGGTAATTCTGCTAACTGAGAGTCTGAATAGTAAGATTAGAATATTCTAGAACAATTTTCCCATACAATTCATGGATTTTAATAAAATTCCCTTCATCTTTGTCTACATGAGATTTTTTTCCACACTTACTAACATTGCAAGCATTACCATTAAACAAGAACTAATCACTCAAATAGAAGATAAGAAAAAAAAAGATTTTATGTCACATTTATACTAGTTTTCCCATTGTTGGTCTTGTTACAGTAGTTATATTAGTTCTAGAGCAACAGTAGAGCAAACACATTTCTGAGAGTCTTAAATCTTTTTGTGTTCAAACATACTTTGTGTTGTATTGTGAAATACAGTGCCTCTATTTTTCTTACTTTTCTGATATCCTCTGAATTTAAAAAAACAAAATCCTGAAGGAGGCTTGCATCTGTCACACTGGAATCACTTTAAAACCAAAAGAAATGATACATTTTTAGGCCAAATCTGTTTCCCTAAAAAGGAGGAACACAGACAGACAGAGAATGAAAGAAAAAGAAACAATTTTACTCCTTGTTAATGGTTTGCTTAGGAAAACAGATATTAAAATTCTGTAGTAGCTAGCATAAAAGACTTGGGTAAGAAAAGCTGACCTATGTAATAGCAAATAAACTAGGCTCTCATAGAAGCAAAAGTACTTCAATTAACCTTTTTACTGAGACAGAAAAATAGACAAAGACAGTGTCTACTGTCTAGAAAGTAAAGAATGACATGTAAAATATGATTGTGCCTATTCAAGGAACAGATACTTTACCTGCTTAGGATGCAGACACAATAATACAAATACAAAAGTAGAAGCACTGACTGAACCTGAATCACGCTGCTTGGGGTAAGGATTTTGAGTTCCCACTTCAGACACAATAAACACCACAATATATTACGTGAATATATTCATGAAAATTAGTAACAGAAGCCACTTGGCTAGAAAGCTAAGTTTGAATTCTAGCTCTTTGCTAGAATTTTATAAAAAACACACACACCCTTTTCCAAGTATTCATACACAAAATTGGGTTTGAAATACTATACCCTTTGGCTGTTTCAAATAAATGGTCTTTCAATGAGTAAAGGGTTCATATCCAAATTTGCTTGATCAGTTTGATGACTCACCACATTTGACTTGCTAATCTGCCAGTTTATGAGTGTATTTACAAGTGCATGATATTTCACACCAGAATCTGTCTCATCACTCACTGTACATGGCAGAGACATAGTATTTTCTGATTCATATGCTAAAGTTAGGAAAATACTAATGTTAAAAAAACAGAACCAAAAAAAACTCAGAAATCATGATGCAGAACATCACTAAACAATAGCAAGCATCCTTCAGCCCTATTTTTATTGCTTATTATTATGTTAGAGACCCACTGAGTAGCTACATCAGAGAGAAAAATCTCATTATGTGTTAGTCACTATGAAAACACAGCCAAATAATCTATTCAATAACTAATCACAAGGAGATTCAAACATGTAAAAATCACTGTAACAAACATTCATGTGTATATACACACACGTAACACTAAAGACTTTATTTATAATACTTAGCCTTCTGTGTATGAGTTATGCTAATCACACAAAGCCAGACGAGAAGTAAGAAAAAAGATTAAGATGCAGACAAGTTAACTAACAAGTCATGGAGCACATTGTGCATCCTGATGTTCAGCCCAGGATTACCCGGACTGTATTTCCTTTTACCATGGTTACTCCTTTGACAGGGATAGGAAGAGCAAGGCAATATGTTTTGTTCAAATGCCTTGCAAGAGGATATTTCTCAGTTTGAGAGGATCTCAAGGAAAAACGAAATACACATCCTTCATCTCTCTCCTATTTTGTGCCCACTCTTGTTAGAATGTGAAAGACACACAAAAGCCAAAGCTTTTAATTCTCATCAGCCTCTCTATTCTGAATAGCTCTATGAAGATTCCTTGAGGACATTTAAAAAAAAAATTAAATGAGGCATAAAGAACTTCACTGACTGCTACTTTGGTCTTTAATAGCGGATGTAATTAAAGCAACTTCTAAGGCTTTAACTTCTTAACATGCATTGAAATAAGTGCAAATCATATAAATACCTTTTAATAGGCAGTTTAGTGTTTTGCTCTTGCAGGCACCTAACCATGTAATTTCAAGAGAAGAGTTTATAACACGATATGAGATCAGAAAAACCTGAGGAGATAATAACTTTTGCTTTGGCTTTAACTTTCACTTCAATGTTATCTAAAAAATCTCTGAAAACCCTCTCCAGTTTGATCAGACCGGTAGGAACACTGAATCAAGATTTCACATCAGCAGAAAACTTCAGTGTATCTCTTTGAACAAAATGGAAGCAAAGGATGTGGTTTTTTGAATGACAGCTTAATGATCTATTCAGGAGAAAGGTCAAATTACCTTTATTTATTCAAAATACTCTTAGCAAGCTGTCCTATAAACCACTGTGCACTGGAATGGCCAATCCCAAGCACATTAATTAAGCCCTTTTGCAGAGTAAACAACTAAGTTCTTTTCTCACTAGCAGGGACTCCATGTACAGCAACAGAAGTTGACATAAACATACTTTGAACTTAACTCCAGCATCATACTGGAAAACCGGGTCTCAGCAGATCTTGTTCTAGCTGATATTTTCTATAAAGACCCATTAGCCCAAGGTCTCAAGAGAAATCTGAATCTTAGATAAATTGGGAAGAGCAAGCCTACAAAACACTAAGATCTCCAAAGTTCTTCACAGACAGCCCATTGTGCAAATGATAGTTTTCTTGATGCAATAATTTTCAAGGAATTTCCTAAGCTTTCCCTTCACAGTCTAAAGAATCATATATAGCAGATGTCAGACAATCTTATCCTAAAGACTTACAAGACTATCTAATCACATTATTGAAAGAAGAAATATCCTCTCAAAACATTAAACTCATCAAATGCAACTGGTCTAAGCCAAAAAAAAAAAAAAAGCTCAGCTCTATGATCACAGAGCTTGTAAGATATAATGTAGTTGACTGCAGATTACTGACTCCAGACAGCAAGCAACATTACTGAATGGGGGTTTCATTTCACATAGTGTTCCTTGTTATCCTCAAAAGTAGTTAAATGTGGAGCTAAGCAATGACCTAAACTCAGAGCCCAATCATTTGCTACATACAACATACAGAGTTCCTATTTTGAGAGCATCCTAGTTCTAGAATCCCCAATTATTCAACTGGATATGAGCATCACCTGCACAAAACTCAAGTCCTGGCACTGTGTAAACACGTTATATTTCTAAAAGCTCAAAGAAAGATATAGGAGACCCTCTACAGTTACATCACTAGAATATTCTTCAGGCAGATCTGTGGTGTCTTCATTACATGGTAACTCTGAATACTATTGGTTTGCAGAAATTCAGGAAAGGAATCCTGAATATCAATGTCTTTGCTTATTGATCACAAGTTAGATCAAAGGTTACCCCAAACACTGAAAACATAAATTAAATTATGAGGTAACAATAAAACTTCTAAGAAAGATACAGCAGCACAACAGGACTGTACATTGAGACTTCTTAGCCTTATGAAAAGCTAATGGCTGAGCAATTCTGAAAGGAATATATTGCATGCTTCATTTTTATTGTGAGGAAGGTCATAGGATTTCTAATAGGATGTTTTACAATGTTTTACACAGTAATGTCTTTCAAGGTATTTAGGATGCTGTCCCAATTGCAGTGTAAGTGAACAAGATTAAGGGAAACAAAAACTATTTTCCAAAAAAAAGCATTCCCAAACATAGAGTAAATTTTTAAACTCTCACTCAACTGACATACTAGCTCTGCTGGACTACTGTGCATTAAGATATATCATATATTTTCTTGCTACTTGGTTTTACCAGCAGAAATGAAGGTAAAGTTACACTGTAAACCAAAAGCAAGTAAAAATCTCTTAACGTGTCTAAGTTAAGGTAAAGTTGGGAACTTTGTAATTTTAAAATAAGAAAAAACAGCAGCAAGTAAACTATTATCATCCCATCACTCTTCATTGCTTTTGACTCAGTATGGCCCTACCCTCTGTCAATCTTTCTGTTTTCAAATTAATAGGACTTCAGGTGGGGAAAAAAAAATGCATCTGTCACTACTGCCTCTATGCTTCTGAAATATATAGAATCTTGCTTCTGTAGGATTAATCATTTCAAGTACCAGGAATAACTCTTCCAGAATCTACATACCCTGCATTTGGCCATCTTGAGAGTAAAGGAGTTGGTCTTGTAGAAATACATTGTCTAGACTAAGAAGAATAATCCTTTTCTTAAAGGATAATTGAAAATCAGAGTATGTAAAATTATTGAAAACATTATGACAATAGTGGACTATAAAAAAAGCTTACCCCCATTACACTGTCAAATGCATAGCAGCTTCAGTGCCAATGAACAACTCAGCATATCACACAAGATGCCGCCCTAGTTTTAAATTAGACTGATATTTTTCTACGGTTGCAGATCATGTTTATTCTGAGAATGATGTGATGACAGCATGACTAGACAAATCCTTTCAAGGTCCTCATCAATATACCCATAACTAAAACTCACATCTTCATGTTAGCAGTTTCCAAGTTAGTTAGATGAATATTGGTCACATTTTCCCCTGCAATGCTGACATGCTTGAAGAAACCATGGCTGATAACGCAAACTCTGTTAGTCATTTATCAGTAATGAATGGAGCATAATCCAAGTAATACCCAATTATCCTGAACTTATAATTATTTTTTAAAGCTACCTTTTCTTTATCCTTGAAAAGAAGAAATATTTGCCAGCATTAATTACAACCAATATACAACACTGACTTCAATATTAAGTAGACACTAGAGGTGATTTAAGAACATAAGACTACAGAGTTATTTTTCTGAAAAAGCAATCTTGAAGTATCTATATAATTAAACTCTATGCTGGGAGAAAAATGAATAATGATTTCTAGAAATGCTGATTAAAGTTACTGCGATTGACAGGAACCAACTGGATCTTTCTACTTAAAATATTTAATTAAAAATATGGAAACCTGGTACCATAATATTCAAATATTAGAAAAAGTTGATGTTTTGTTAATGTCCAGATCTCAATCAAGCAAAATAGACTGCAAGGAAATCATTACCAGTAATGCTTTGGGTGTGGTAAGTTACAAACTACAAAGATTTCAAATGTCTGTTTACAGCGCTGAACTAGCCCACAATTAATTACATTTCTGTGAGACACACAATGAGTTATTCTTCAGTATAAACACAAAATAGAACATTTGTCTCCGCAAGCTGCTTTTCCTCAAGGGATTCCTTTTATGCAGGCCCTCTCCCACAGTTAGACTAGGCTGCCCTGTATCCCGTAGCATTCTCCTGTTACTCTCTTGGCACAAGAAAGCAACAAAGTGCTTTTTAAAATTATTATTTTTTAAAGAAAACTTTGATAATAATCTCAGGGCTGGCCTGCCACAGGTCCTCCAGCCTTTAGAAAGGCAGGCTATCCAGTTACAATTAGTAAATCATATTAATGGATTTTAAATAGAATTATTAAATCATTTATTTGCCCTGAGCTAATGGTTAGACATTTCAATTAAAAGTAGTCATATTTCTTCAGCACCTAGGCCAAAATCTGAGAGAAATCGAACTAGCAGATAGGATTACAAACAGATAAAGTGATGTTATTCTATGTTTTATGAAGCCTGGGACCTTGTACCAATAATATTTGTTAATCTTCACACGACTACATTCCCTTTACTAAAAAGTACATTATAAATCATCCACAAATTTTCTTTCAGAACTAAACAGGATGAATGGAAATCTTAAATTTTGCTCAACTCTAATATCCATCTCTTTTTTCTAGTATAAAATGCTCTTTGATTTTCTCTAATCATAATCTCATCCCATTTAATAGGTACATCATGGTAGCTCACAATTTTGCAAGTGACTCAAAGCAGTTAGAGCTGGTTTTTTGTTTTTTTCTTTTAAATTTTCATATTTGGAACATAATCAGAAAAAACTGTTACTTAAGATAACACCCAACACAGCTGATGCTTTCCTATTTGCTTACCATAAATAACTATAAGCAGAATTAATGCTCTGTTTTATCACATAATCCTGCTTTAATCATTAAGCCTTCCTTCAATTCCATTCAGCCAATTCATCTAGACAGCTAAAGCCTGCCTCTTTCAACTTTATTTTTCACACTCTTCCATCTGTTTCTCATCAATACTAGTCATCTTAGGGCTTCAAATTTAAAACTACCTTCTTTGTCAAGTTGCCCGATAATATTCCAGCTTTCACAGACGTTACTGCAAAATACGGAGACAAGCTACACAAAGACTATGAGATGCAAAATGTATTAAACTGGAAATGGCTGCCACAGAGGCACAGTTATTTTCTTTACTTAGGTAGTTCAGATAGTGAACTTGCAACAAATAATGAAATACCCTAATATTCTGGAATAAACAACTGCTTTGCTGTTAGAAATTAGTGTACACTTAATTCTTAAAGAATATTACCAATAGCAGACTCTTTCAAATTACTTGAACTGGAGCTGCTTGAGTAGTCCAGTATGTCCAGCTCAGCATCTAATTCAGAGAACATACCTGCACATAAAAATCAAAACAAAGAAGCTTTTAACCCACCTCTGACCAGCATCAGCACCCTGATGCTTCTTTTGTTAATGCCTACCTTTCTCTATAGTCCTGTGATCCTCTACCAGAATTTCTTCATATGTTCCTTCCTCATATTTTCCACATGCAGACTGACAACTATCAACTGGAAGGTCAGTATTTTCTGAAAACTGACTTTTGCAACTGGCTGCTCCATTGCTGCTACTATGAAGACTGATAATTTTTCTGACAACAAAGAACAAAAAGGAAATGTTATATATTGTCATTTTCCAGAACTTATTAGAAATTCTGAAAATGAAAGTGTCACTTGTGCATACACGCATAAAAACACTCTTTTTGTTCCCACTTAGCTTCTAGTCCAGGACTGTAGAGTAACTGGTTCAGTCACTGATTCTAAATTTAGAACAAAACTTTCAAACTGAAAAAAAATATTTCTAGTCTTTACATAAAAGACATCTTTGTTCTTGATGACAATCTTTTCACAACAAGCATTGAAAGTGAAAAAAATGAAACAAACGCCAGAGCAGAAGCAAACACTGAACAAAAACAGAAGACTGGACAAAGACAGTAGGTTCCCAGGTACGAGCATTGGTAGATTTACTCCCTTCCAGCTTAGATAATAAACAGCAGTCCAGTTCTGGACAACGTAAAACCTGCATAACAGCCAAAATGGTAGTAAAATATGGAATTAACTTGACATGATGCCATGTCAGAGACCCCAAGGCTGAAATGACCAAACACAGAGCTAGGAAAATAAAACATTCAACATAAATTATTTGCCTGTAACATTTAACTGCTGTGTCCTGTTTGTAGCACAAGGTTCTTTAATAAGTTTAAAATTCTGCCTCTGCTGTTGTCAGTGTTTACTGTTTTTCTAGAAAGAATAGAAATCCCTGATCCCTGTTATTGCTTCTATTTTAATGCAATGTATTTTGAAGGAAGATGTTTTATGATCTCTGTATATATTGTTCCAAGTCTTCACATATTAGTTCTGTTGTGTGTAAATAAATCCATGTTTCTTTTTACCCTATCTTGTCAGAGCAAAGCGTGATAAAGGAGGACAGGAGATAAATTATACAAATATATCAGATTAAACAAATTAGTATCTTTAATATTATTTTCAGGAGATAATACATTCCTAAATACTTATATTTTTACCAAGTCTGCCTAAGACAATTTGTTCTTTATCTAAGTCAACTTCTTTCAAAGTTTTTCCCAAGAAGTATTTTTATCTTATCAGGAAAGAACAGAGTGGGTGCATTAGAAAACCTTTCTCCTCAGAAACCTAACTGCACCCCTGAGCACTGACTATACACTGTCTGTGTAATAGGTCTGCTTCAATTACTTCCCCGTCTTTGGTTCTACTCCCAAATCTATAACTTAACTTGTAAGAGATGGATGGTCAAGCCTTTCTCCTTAAATTCAGGTGGGAAAAGATCATTTTATACTTAAGTACTGGACTGAGCTTATGTCCAAGATGTCACAATAGCAGTGACTGGAGTGTAGCACAGCATGACAACCACTAATGATGACTCTCTAGTTCACTTGAAGAGAGCAGTCTAGTCCTGGAATATGAGCACACAGTGTACCCTGAACAGTCAGAGTACAGTTACTGAAAAGAACCAACTCACCTGTTTTACATTAAAGAAAACAAAGTCAAGACACAGAAGGGTCAAACTGCATGGACATTTCAAACTTAAATCTTTCAACATTTACAGGACTGAACCTCATACTCAAAAGACTAACTGTTAACAATAACTTCTAAATCAGGTGGAGCTGAAGAAAAAAAAAATATCAAAAAGACAGCTATTACCAACTGGTTTCAGATCTAGCAGCCCATCAAGATGAGAAACTTGTTCAAAATGTGTGAATTGAATTCCACAGACCTCATGATAAAAATAATTGTCAGACCTGCTATAGAAACTGCTCAGAGATCAGTGAAACATATTCTAAAGCCTTAAAGCAGTCATATAAACTGTAAAGCTATAACCTGTCTATACATAAAATCTGGCCCATTTACATAACGGCTGAACATAGAAAACTATAGTATTCATTAGTAATCTGAGAGTAATGCTGTGTATATTTTGCTCCACCTAGAAAATAGCTAATAAGTTTCAAAAACAAGATTATATACTGCTTTTTCTTTTTTTGAGTAGGACAACTGGATGATTTAGAGGGACAAAAGTACCCTGACTAGAGGATGCTGCGATGCAAGTTCAATGATTTTGGTCACCATTGGAGGGAGAACATAAGGATCTACATATGGACATAATTTTATGAGAAGAGGATGGAGAAACTTTTCTCCAACACAGTGAAGCAATCATTTTCATATGCCTCAAAGTCTCAGACATACTTCTTTCAGACAAGTAGAAAGACAGATACTTATCTTTTGAAGAAATCTGTGAAACAGTGGTATACTCAAAACATCACAAACATTCAAAGAGGAGTTTGAGTTTAGGTTGATACATATTCATTTGAACTATGCTCATACCTACACTTGATTCTAGCGTTCCAGTATTTTACAAATCTTTACGGAGGTTCCATCAGTTGATTCAGTTTATTTTCACATTTCTGTAATAAACTAGTGTCTCAGTTTCCCCATGTATCAGATTGATTGCCACTTTTGTTGAAGCAAACTCTGCCTTCTAGTACAAAGAAACACAGTTGAAAACAAAAGCTAAAGGGAAAAAAGTCCCTCTTCAAAAAAATGTTCAAATAATGAACCAATTAATTTTTTTTCCAGCATTCATCTATCTTTATTACTGAACAAAAGCATCTCTGGAAATCTGTGTCCTAGCCATGAAGAAAAAATTCTATCTTCATCTATATCCTGTACACTTGTCTCTTCCTTGGTCACCATTACTACTGTAAAATCAAGTTATACCTAATTTTTGGACAAGTGAAGCCTAAATTGCTCTTTTTGACTTCCAGTAGAAATCTAAAAAAATCTAAAAAACCCAAGTAGAATAAAGATATCGATCTTTTGTTTAGATCTGTTTTGTCATATTACTGTCCAGAAGAATTAACTTTTCTATCTTCAAGAAATATAGAGCTCTCTAGTGGCATTTGCAAACAGTGTTTAATTAATCTTCTTTATTTGAGACATTTACAATTACAGCATTATGCTAATCAATTGAATTTCTATTTCAAGAAAAAAAAACAGAACTATTTCCACTATTAAACTATTTGTAAAAACCTACAAGTCAGCAATAAAATGAATAATAGCTGACGTGAAATTGTCAGGGAAAAAAAACATGCTAAAACAATGTATTTTTTTCAGTAAGAGGGTAACAGTTCTTGTGCACTAGGAACAAGAAGTAGATGTTATATATAAGAATTTTAGCAAGGCTTTTGACAATGTTTTTCATGACATCTTACAAGAAAGCTAGGGAAGTGTGACCTAGACAAAATCACGATCAGTTGGCTGTATAATTGACCATAAAAATTGTACTCAACTTGGTAAGCGCTTCGAGTGTTTGTTACACTGAAAATGGGTAGCAAGCACAATTTTTCAGGATCCTTTTTGACCTTGTTCCAAAACTACTCAACGGTGTCACTGAATTACAATGATAATCTGAATAATGGATAGCCAGAGTGCCTGTTAAAGGTGCCTAGACTGCGATACATTCACATCATATATCATACTGCAGCATATACATCATACACAGAGCTGTGTCAGTGAAACCGACAGTGGGTGTCAAAGAAAGTTCTGAGAAGCTGGAGAAACTAAAAGAACTTACGAAGTTTAAACAGAGAGAAACCAAAGTTCTGTGAGCAATGGGGAACAACTGTACAAATGCGCAGACTGGGGAAAGACTGGTCAGACAGAAGCTGTGCAGGAAAAGATAGGGGGATTTTGATGGATGAGAAACAGAATATGACTCAACAACACCATGCTGTTACGGAAAGGGGGACATCATACTGGGATGTATAAAGAATAATTCCAAAGAATTGTTTATTCCTTCTAGTTGATACCAATAAGATTCTCAGTTGGAGTAATTAGGTACAATTTTGAACACTACCCTTAAAATTATGTCAGTCTTACTTTTTAAGTCGTGTTTTGTAGACCTCTGATTGTTTTCATATCTTTCTTTTCCTGTCTCTCCACATTTTTTATTATTCAGTCCATATTAAAAAAAAAAATCACAGAGAGGGGAACCAACATAAAAGAGAAAAGACATAACTTTTACATATTTCCACTGTCAGGAGGACAATTTCAGTAATCAAGTGTTCAACTATTGCATCTATCTGGGATCCTGAAGAGAGAAATAAGCGTTCATACACAATGTAACTGGTCTGAATGTGCTCAGCAAATGCAGTGTTCTGGGGATATTCTGGATTTAGTGCTCTCAGAGTGCTTTTATGGCACTTAAGATTGGGTCTGAAAATGTCAAGTGCACATGCATATGTCCATCTAGTATCTCCTGGAAACAAGACATGCATATCATATCTACTCTGTCAAGTATACAAAGTAAGACCAAAATTTTCTGCAAGCATCAGACAACTTTAGATATTGTGTATAGCACAGTGTATATGTGCTGTGGGTATGCCCAGGATGCTTCAGGCATCTTCATCATTTCCTAGATGTTATCTTCAAATGGAAAGAAAGACTCAAATCAGATGTGACTCCTGACTGTAAAGACAGTTTGTGCATCTCTGCTGTTTCTAAACTGTTTCTATCACATGACTTTTTTATGACTGACTGGTCAAATACCTGCCAGGAGTGACAGGTAGCTCTAAAGCTCAGAGAGGGACAAGATAATCTCTGACAACTCTTCCTGCCTTTTATCCGGTAATTCTATTAAAGTATTTAGATGTATTAACAAATTGAAGCCGAATTAAGCATATTATGTGTTTGTCCTTAAGAGTCTGATCATATGTTTTCACAGGTAGTAATTTGGCTGTGATGACTATTTTCTACGTTCGGCAACACTTAAAAAAAATATACCTGCAAAACAGTTTTTATATCATTACTCTATTCTCCAAACATACACAGTATAAATCTAAAAAGGTTATTTTCTTTTTATCACGCCAACATTTCTAACATTTAAACTTTAAATCTAGTACCTGCTACATAAATGTCAAAACAGAATTGTGTCAGTGGAGTGAAAGGTTGAAGAAGAAATGAATTGGTGGAATGTTAAGTCTTCATGACATTCCTGAGTCCTCACTCATTTCCAAAGGGAATTGTATGCAGCAGTGCACAGTCATTATCACCCAATTTTTAAATACAATTTTAATACATTTTAAGAATAAATTTTAATAAAAATATTTTAATATTCTAATCTAACATAAATACAGGACTCTATTTCTGCAATATTAATAACCTGTTGCCTTCTAAGTGTTTTAAAACCAAGCATAGTCATTGCTTCAACTGATACAAAAGCAGTTGCTGCACACATACATGGCTGTTTTAAGAAAAAAAAAATCTTTTATGCACCAAAAGGCTGAATTGCACAGAATCTATTTCTAAACACAAAGAAAAAGGAAATTAAAATGAACATTAATCCAATCTTTATGTCTTTTTCTGAGTTAACAAAAAAACTTGATTAATTCAAATTGAATTGCTAATTAAGTACTACTTTGTAATGCGTGTGGTGATGCTTAGAAACTAACATGATTATTAGCACAACAATTGCCAACAGAGCAGAACTGAATTTGGGTGTGGGGGGAAATGACTTGGTGAAAAAGCAGCTAAATCATTTTGTGTTTCTTTGTCTTTCAGATAGCTGCAATCCTGTCCTCTTTCTTGTGAGGAAATCGATGGCTGCTGTGAATTACAAGAGTTGCCAGTAGCCTGCAGGGTGGTTACAAAAGTACAGATTCTTAAATCATGATCTCTAACCCTTCCGCCTTTGGTCACAGATCCCTGTGGATGAAGAAAAAGATAAATCCATTCCTGTGGATGAAGAAGACTGGTAACAGTAGCATGGTCTCTATTTACAGGTATTATTACAAAACACTTCACATTTATTTACATTGTGGTCTTTGTGATAGAAGGGGCATAGAAAGAAATCCCAGCATTTCTCAAGACTCATTCATGTTTCTAAATCAATCCAGAAAAGACATAATGCAATCAACTCATAATCATCTAGAGGTAGATTATTGAGGGTTATGTCACAAAGAGAAGCCAGGAAACTCCCATCAGCCAGGCTCTTTAGTTCAGATTTAGTCATTTAGATATAGTCCTGTTTGAAAACAGTTATGCTGCTTCTTTCAGTATTTCTAACCAATAACAAGTTGAACAGATTCTGCAGGAGAGAGGTAGGCAGGCTTCTTAGCATAAGCAGCAGCCAGGCTGCCTGCAAACAGAATAATCAGTGTGTTTTCCAGCAGCAGCATCCTAGTCCACCAGAAGCACAGCACCTTGTTACCTACAGATTAGCCTGGGAGGGCCAGTGCTGACCTGCAGCTAAAATCCAACCTAAACGGAAGATGACTCACCGTGGCCTATATGCCACACCCCCCAGCATGCTGGGTTAGGGGAAGATTTACCCATCCAAGTGTGAAAACAAAAAAAATGCAGAGACCAGCCTGGCTAATAAGAGTTCTTGTGCACTTGAACATTAGGACAAAGCACTCAGCTAAGGGCCACCTAAATGGACCAGGTCAGACCAAGCGCTGTTAATGACTTTTGACACTCTGTTAGCCCTGACTAACCTGGAATGTGGATCCACTCCATAGACCAGACTACACTCAGAAAAAAAATTGGACTTACTTTTCCCATTACCTAAGCATCTTAGTTTCCCCCTTTACTCTGCTTAACTGGTTACTTGATCTGAATATATGGATTTGCATAGATTAATTTAAAAATGAAATGAATATAGTGACATTATTAATACAAAAATTAAAGAACACGGTATTACCTGGTATAGAGAAAAAATGTGACAGAATATGTGTGCCACATGCACGAATCAGCACTACAGAAACTAAGAAAAGGAAGTTGCTCTGATCAGACAGGTAGTCTATCATGTCTGCTCATTTTTAATATATTCTCTGAGAGTAGCAGAAGGTACAAATGGCTCATATTCTGTTACATATTTTTAGCTGACACACTCCAATTATAAAACTTACATTTTTCTCTACCACATTCAAAAGACAGGACAGATCTGAATATTCATCATTCTATATTGTTTTAGGTATATTTATATTTTACATTAAAAATATGGCAATGGAAAAAAAGTTAAAAACACTTCAGGATATATGCTAGATGAAACAATCGTGGATGATGCCCATGTAATGAAACATATATTTCCAAAGTAAGAAAAGTGACTTATTTCACCTTTTTCTAAACAGACCAAACAAATTTTTCAAATCTATATACTTCAAAAAAGAAATCAAAATACTATTTGGCTACACACTCATTTCTTCAAAGGACAACACTAGAAAGATAATTTGTTAGTTAGATCAACTACTGTTTTGAGACTCATATTTGCCTTGAAACACAGAAAACTCAGGTTTGCCACTAGTCTGTTCAGTGACCTTACACAAAATACCTTTTTCCTCTCCACCTCTTCCTACCCTGAGCATGAAAACGTAATATTGATCACCTTGAAATGAGAGGTACAATGTGATAGAAAATTATTGCCATTATGACTACTTGTTGGGTCCTTTCTATCCTGTATAATGTCAGCAACCTTAACCTTTCAGAGCTGAACACACTAACTTTATTAAAGACCTGTCACCCATACATCTGCTTCTGTTCTGACATAAACAACAATTTCTATGGAAAACAACAAAAAATACAAATTTATGTGGGAATATGATAATGATTCTTTTTACTAGGATTATTTTCAAGCACGGATTTTATGCTATACTTATCACACAAGATAACTATACTTCAACATCATCTATTGACATGCCTTTCAATTGCCTACTTACCTGCTTACAAACTAGTCTTACAATACTTATAAAACAGATTCCACTCTGGTTCCAAAAGATCTCTGTTGCTTAGTTCCATAAAGCAGGCAAGAGAGTACAGTCCTTATTTCAGAAACATTCACAATATGACACAACTGGGATGAAAAAGGAGGCCATAAGTACATTTCAGTAGAAAAAACAAAGTATAAGATAGTTGGCTTCAACAAAACAGTGAACTACATGGCAGAAACACCGAATTCTCTGACATCATAGAAAAATGACAAATTACTTGGCTGTGGAATAGCTGGGGCCTTGACTAAGATGAATTAGGCTGTCTATACCTCACAGAGTTTTTATTTCAGGAGCAGCTGCTTGAAATTCTTCCTAGCACTTTTAGTCAGAATATTCCCTATTTTTTCAAAAGACAAACTTTTCAGGAAAAATTATTCTCTTCGTTAGAAATTCTCCAACTTCATAAAATTTTCCAAAGTACCGGGAAGAAAGAAACAACATGGCTCCTTCTGTTTCTAAGCTCTGCAGCACTCCCCTGAAATTTGGAAGATCCTAGCCTGTTTATTCTATCTTATTTACAGCAAGGACACACAGTTAGGTCTCCCACTTCTCAGTGCTAAGCTATATTCCCCTCTGGTTCTTCAGTGTTCTGGATCTTTGTCAGAATCTTATGTTCCCTTAATATATAAAATATCTACTGGAGTGGAACTAGAACTACAGTATTTCTTCCTCAAGAAGATTAGCCATTATCACCCAAAATACAGAGGCATTTTTCTTTTCTTTTTGTAGATAGGTGTATTTTCAAAGTATTTATACAAAACAGAAGTACTCTAACCTTCTATGAAAAACTATCAGTTCTATCATATCTTACAAATGTCTGGATAGGGGACTCTTCTTTAAAGACAAGATAACTGCATGTAAATCCCAAGTATAGCATCTTTCCATTTATAGCACATTTTTTTGCAAATTTCATCACAGTTATGCAAGAGAATGATTATATCAAGATATGAAAAAATAATGAAATACAACAAACTTCCAAATGCGTAGGGTAAGAACATTTTTTAAAAAATGGAAAAAAATTGCTTGTACTGTTTTAAGTTAAAAATTCTATTCTGTATCTTTCTTGCATCCCAATACCTCTTACATTTCAAAAAATAGTGGTTTGTTAAAAGTCTTCTGGAAGTTTTTGGCATTCTTCTCCTTGAAAAAAAAGGGTATAATAAAAATAATGATCTTAGACTGATAGGTCAAAAAACTATTGAAAAAAAATATTAACAATTTCTACAAGTGTTACATTTAGCCAGGAACATAAAGACCAAAGTTTGGGACCAAATTGTGTTCCTGAAAACCTTTTTCCTACACAGAATTTCTTCAGTGCAAACTACTGAACTCTGACAAAAGGAATCTAATAGATTCAACTTCTGAACAGACAAGAGTGGTTGTGTAAATTATAACTTTGCTTTGCAATTACCATAACAATAATTTTCACAGTGCGCTTTTGCTACACAGAAACATTATCCTTGTATTTTCTAAATAAATTCTCTGAGATCATATACAAGTTTGGTTCATTATGTAAAATACTGATGTCCTTCATGAAGGGTGCTTAAAACACAGCCTGAAGCAAATGGAAGAACTGCAAGAAGTATTTCTGCAGAACTGTATCAGGCAGTTAGAAAACATGAGCAAATACCTTATCAGCATCAAGGGTTTGTATTTAGCAATCTGTATTTAAAAATTATATTTGTGTAAGTTCCATTTTCTAGGTGTCATTGTTTATGAATCATACACAAGATTATCAATTCGTTCCACCCTAACCAGGTGTATATTCTCCTATTCACAAATCATTCTCAAGGCTGCAATAATAATTAAATGTTATCAGATATTATCAAAACTGCAAGAACCTCCATAACAATGCCATTTTCCAACATGGAATGATACTGGTTTTTGAGATACTGTCACTTTTCCTGCATAAGCATGTGCAAAAAAAAATATTAATGAATACCTTGTTAAAAATAAATTAAAGAGCCCGCACAGAAAAATGTTACAAGAGGATTCATTTTGATTTATTTTCTGCTTTGTTATTTTCTCAGATATGGCAAACAATGATAAGAAAAAATAAAGTCTAATACACGTACTTACTTGTGATAAAATGGAAAGCTGATGGTGATAGGTTACTGCATTTCGATTAGCCTCCATGAAGAACTGCTGGGTTTGTCTCCTCTCCTGATCCAGTTTCTTCTCCAACATGAGATGAGAGGTGGATAGAACATCCAGGTATTTCATCATAACATCAGACAGCAGTGAGCTGACCTCCACTATGTCTGGACGTGCCTCTGCATCAGGAGTCAAGCAGCTACAGAAATAATATTCTCTATTTACTTATTTCTAAAAAAAAACCCAAACATTTTTCACCACTGTATTTCTCCACTGGTATTTATGGAGTCCTGCAGGCCAGCACTCTGTTCATTCTGCATGGGACAGTTTGATGCTGTGCAGCCTCGTTGAAATACCACAGCACAGCCCCTGGTATCAGCTGGAACAATTATCCTTGGCACCAATCCAGACAAAACTGCAACTAGGGGCTGCAGTTGTGCACCCCCAGACACACTAGGGAGTGCCCAGGGCCTATTCGTGGGACTGGGAGAGACATTGCCTCCCTTGTGGCGACTGTGCTCTAGTCAAGGAGCTGCACCACTGAACAAAGCATCTGTGAAGGAGAGGAGTGTGTTGTCAGAAGGATTTACAGGAGAATGTCACGATTTTCACAGAGACTTTGCAGAGACAAACAACGCTCTCAAAACAATGCAAAGAAGGAGGAAAATCTAGAGCTTACCCTCAAAGAATCAGTGGATGGAGGCTCCCAAGAGGAGCTAGATTGGAGACTTGTGACTTCTGCCAAGAGAAGGAAGGCTTTTCCTCTAACTACAGATATATAATTACAGAATAGGTATAGTGACCTACCAAAAGGTGAGGAAGAATAAGACCTAATGGAGGACACATCAGAGCCAGGTGAGTCTGAATCAAGAGTTCACATCACAAATAAGATGCAGTAGCTGACAGTCATTTGAGGCTGAGGAACAGAGGCATCCATCTACTTGATCTGATTTGGTGCCTGTGATGTCTGTTGCTTGGACTCAGGACATTGTGGAGATACTACTGATTCATCCTGACCCTTGGGCTATTACTTCTTGCTGTTCATTCATATGGGCACAAATAACACTATCAGGGTCAACTCCGAACACACTGAAAGTAACTACAGTGCACTGGGATCAAGTGTGAAGGACACTGAACAGAGATGGTGATCTCCTTAATTCTATCAGTGAGGAGGAAAGGCTCAGGTCAGGGTGGGTGCAACCTGACTGTGTATAGTCAAAAGCTTATGAGTGAGGATCAGAGGAACAGACCAACATGGGTGACATTGTGGTAGACACCTGCTATAAACCACATAAAACCAAAGAGGAAGTCAATGAAGCCTTTGTTGGACAGATGGAGGAAGCTTTGTGATGGTAAACACTCATACTCATTGGGGCCTATTAACCACCCTAATATCTGTTGATGGGATGGTTGACTGCAGCAATCAGGAGACTTCTGGAATCTGCTGATGACAATTTCTTGGTGAAGCTGATTCAGAAGCTAACTAGCAAAGGCACTCTGCCAGATCTGCTGCTTACAGACAAGGAAGAACCAGACAAGGATGAACCAGACAAGGATGTGAAGATTAAGGACAGCCTTGGCTACAGCAGCCATCAGACTGTGGAGTTCAAAATCCCAAGAGAAGTGAGAGAGATCGTATTGTTACAACAAAGGACTTCAGGACTAGACGACTTCCAGGGGCCCCTTCCAATCTAAATTACTTTACAGTTCTATGGTTCTTGTTTCAGGCACCCTAGGTAGCTGTTTAGTGACTGAAATAATATACTATTAGATCTATTTTTAAATCCCCAGAATATTTTGTATGCAATGTAGGACAGAAAAGCTGATAGGGACAGTTCTGCATGCACTACAAAACTCTTAAATCTTAACTCCAGTGAACCTGATAATTTACTACAATTTCCCTACAGAGTACTATTGACCTGCTAACACACATAACCCAACACTCTTCTTTAAAGAAAGTCACAGAATGGTTTATTATTCCTAAAACAGTTCTAAGTAAAACACAACTGCCACGTGAAGTAGCAGTTCTGAAAATATTTTACAATACTTGAACTCCTTGATTTTAATCTTTTTTGTTTAAATACTCTCAAATACATTAATTTAAATAATTTCCATAACTTTTAAAATCTGTTTTACTTGAAATTTTATATTTCTTTTGAAGAGGTGCAAGTTTTTCACCCTTAAGAAATATTCTTGTTTGGGATTTTTTAATTTTTTCTTTTTAGTCCACTGAAATTGGTCAAAATTTCCCAGAACAATGTGAGCTATAAAACATTTCTCATGAGTTCTATTTCCATTTCCCATGCATCTAGAAATGATTTATGACTAAACACCAACTAGATTGATGTTCAGCTCTGAAAAACTTCGGTGATTATGATTCCAGAACTTTCTTTTGTAGTTTAATCCAATAAAACTGTATTTTAATAACAATACCGAAGAAGAAGAATAACGCTAAATGCAAATTTACAGTTACAACATTAAGCTTTCAATGTTTTTTCTAATCATGATCAAGAAATTATTTTTCTATTTATGACATTCATCTTTGAATATGTATTGTGTTTCAGTCATTCAAAAATAGCTCCTTTTCTGTTAATTTTTCCTCACATATATTATAACTAAAATCTCATTATTACTGCTTTTCTTTAATGTTCCTTATTCTTTCTAAATATCTCACAACCTAAACAAAGCCTTAATTTAAGAATTAACCCATAGTAAGAGATAATATTAAAAATAAAACAAATAAAAACAAACAACACTTTATGCTTCTCATGCTATTAAAATATGTAGAGAAATCATTAGGTAATGTAAAAATTTTAATATTTTCATTAAAATTAATTTCCAAATCTCCTAAACATAAATTTTAGCACTATTAGCACCTATACTCGCCATTGTTGTCCTTCATTCTCAGGGTCTTTAAATAATAGAAACCTTTTTGTACAATAAAACATAGTATAAAACCCTTAGTCTTTATACAGTACAGTGCTTTTTTAGAGATGGAATTGCATATCTGAGAAAGTGTAAGCATTTTTGTGCTAAGTGGGGCTTTTTCTACAATGGAAAAATCAAGGGAGCTAGATCTCCACTTCACTCTGTGCTTTGCTTTACACATGACATTATCACCAGAAAGATGTAAACATAGCTAAGAGAAATATGTGATGAGTGAGTAGAACAAATACAGTCTCATTTTTTCCTCCATTACTGCATTCTCTCTGCTTTGTTATCTCTGCTATCATGCTAACAGGATTATAAGGCAGTGGAAAACATATTTCCATCAGTCAAATAAACAGAAAAACTATGAATGTGATCACACAGTGATCTATAAATAATACTGTAACAGGGTTACTTCCTTGACCATAATCTGTATTTGAATATTACTCAAAATGCTGTATTTTCATGGGGGAAAAAAATTGATGTGTAGGGAATTAACTACAGTGTTGATATTGTTAAATTTAAAAATTTAAAGAGTATACTGGCTAAATGAATGTGTTGACTATACCGGTATGTTTTCCTGTTGCATGTGTGCAGCTGTATTGTAGATGTTATTATTGAGGTAAGGAGATACCTCTGTTTTTCCTTAAATCTAAAGATATTTCCTTTTCAGAGACAAATACTGGCAGTTGCTTAAGTCTGCAAACTGTCACATTATCTCTGCTGGAAGCACAGAAAACAAAAACATCTTTTCAGAAGGATGTCGAAATAAAATGAGATGAGTAATTACCTCTTAATGGTAAATGATACTTTTTCAGAGTACAGTCCTTCTTGCACAGGTTCATACATAGCCCCTACTATCTGAAAAATAAATAATCTAGAGTTTGTTGAAGAAAAACACTCCATTATTTATTTCAAGATCCCGTATGATAAACATTGTTTCTTTATTGATGGGCATGACATCAGCAGCTCTAACTTGCAAAACAACTTAAACACATCTTCTAATGCAGAATATCACTTCCAATTGGGTATCCACATTAATGTATATAATCACTGCAGACTAAAGTGCTACAATATCAAAATCAAGGAAACAACAAACACAAACCCCCAATTATTTATTTTAATTTATGAAATCTTCCGAAGATGTAGATACACAACGCTGTAGAAAATCCAATATTATTACATCAAGCAATTTTATATATCTGAAGCTCCTATCACTAAATGCAATGAGTAAAATATGCTAGTCTGAGAGGTAATAAGAGATTAATATTTACAAGCAATTTTTGCAATTAGAATGGCAAGATACCAACTCACACAATGATAAACACTTGTGCTCATTCACACACTAGAACTGAGAGCAGTTTGTGCATCTATAACCTTAAACAAATTCCCACGGATCATGGGAACACATGCAGAAATAACTGGTACATTGATCTCGCAAATCTGAATACCTTAGTAGCCAAGGAGAGCATATTGGTGCTGTAAAATGGTGGGTTCAGAGTTGCCATCTGATAAAGGATGCATCCTGCAGCCCAGACATCAGCCTTTTCTCCATACGGTTCACTCTTTTCAACTTCAGGACTAAGTAGAAAGCAATGCAAGTCACAAGCATTGAATGAATTCACCTAGAAGTAGGCTTATTTTCTAAAAAACCCCACCCAATATTTAGTTAGTCACTACAACATAATTTCAGAGCACACACAATTACATTCAAAAGGCTGCATTTATTTCCTTTATCAGCCAAATTCTTTAAGAGGAAGCACAATTAATAGCTTTTCGACCTCTACTGAAGTTCTTCTCATAACACTAGTGGGTTTTATGTTGTTCACTTGTCCTTTCCACTCATTTTATGTCTTTGGACTTAATGGATACAAGTGAACTACAGCATTTAGAACTTGTTTACAGTATGGCATTTCAATAAAATGGACTAGAGAATAAATAAGTATATCACATCGTCTTGTAATTCAGATATCAGAAAGATTTAAATTCAACTCCCATATTTAGAATGCTAATGGATACAGGTTTGCTATTAATGTAAGTCAATAAACTTTACTCATTGTATCATTTTCATCCTCTTAAAACTACTGTAATGCATTTGTGTGAGGATGCAGCGTGGACACTCAGCAGCCAGCCAGATGACAATACAAAAAAATATTGTAAAGATCCATTTAAAGCAAATGGAAGAAGGCAGCAATTTCAGACTCCACTTCCCTTTTCTAATTTCTTCAGTACTTTTCATGAACTTGGATGATAATAATTTATATTAGTAGGTATATTCTGATGTTGGAGGTCAAGTCTTAGCAGTAAGAGTCATATCACAGGATGTGGTTTGAGGGTTTTTTGCACTTATTTTTTTCTCTCTGTAATCATTCAGAGATACAAAAACTACTTGACTTCTTTCATCTGAAAATCAACTTGAAAACCTACTTCTTTACGTTACCCCCTTCAGCTTAGAATTTGGAACCACTATATCAACTTCATAATTATACTACTGATATCTTTGGTAAAATGCCTTATTTTGGACCTGAGAGGTACTGTGTAAATTCAGTTAATGATGCTAGAAGATGTCCTGCTGCTATGTATAAAATGCAGAAAACAGATTTTTAAAATAAATGGGATGAAGTCCCAAGATAAATTATGATAAGATAAATTAAATTCATTTAACAGAATAGAAAGGCAGAACAGAGGTCACAGTGCAGGAAGGTGAGAGAAACTAACAGGTCACACACTTCTGATAAAATTGATCAAGTGAGATACAGATTCCTGAGGGAAACCTAATTAGCAATTTTTCTTGAATCTTCTGCTGCTGTTACATAACAATAGAGTGGAATACGGGATATTGAATATGGTGTTAGAACAAAATAGCATTTCTGCAATCACACTGTCTGTGATGGTCTGTGACAGTAACTCACGACTTTGTGGAAATTTCATTTTTATGTATTAGAAGTGTCTATTAGAGTAAACATCAGTATAGCAACTTAGATAGATGGTGAGCTCAGTAAGGCAAAGTCCCTGTCTTTGTAAAGTTCTAAGCATGCTCCTATCCAGAAAAATAAATCTGACTTGAATTCCAGTCTTTCATTCTAGTGATAATTTTCATGCATAGAGATCAAGTTAAAAATTACTATTTTTAAAGGACTAAATTATATTAAAATACCAAATTGAGATTATTCAAGCCAAATCTATGTAACTATGCAAAATGCTGCACAATGCATAGCACTCACAGGAAGAGTAAGTTGAATACAATCATGAGAGAAACAGAAGCACCCATTAGCTGGCCTGCAGAATCTTGTGTTTGTGAACAGCAGAGAAGAACCTCGCTTGATGTCCAGAGCAAACAGACTTGAAAAAAATAATGCTATGATTTGGAAATCACAGAAAGAATATAGTGCTGACAAAGTTGTAGTTTTAGCATGGTTTCACACAGATGCACAATAGCTGGAAGTTAATGAAGTAATTTGTTCTGTTTATTCATGCTGAAAGATTTCGTGTTCTAAATGCACATCTAACGCCTTTTTCTTTTCCCTTTTTTTAATCAAAAGGAGGACTTGCAGCAGAGTACTATTTGATCTCTTCTTCCAGAACAAATGTCTTAGTCAGAAGTCTCTGATATTTAGAGCATTAGGATGACCAACACCATAAAAAATACTGTCTCATGCTTAAGAAATACTTTAAATTAGCTAAGTAATATTTTTTTAAGGTGACCATGAAAGTTTTAGAGCAAATATAAAATCCCATACTTATATGATGCTATACTTCTATGGTTAATTCATACTGTAATTTAGATTTTTTAAATAGGATTTTCAAATATTATTTATTTGCTTTTAAGAGATGTTGTGAAATCCCTCACCATGCTCTCCAGGCTTGCCTCACCATCTGCTAGTTATAAATGTGGGTGGGGTACAGTACTTGTTGACTAGCAAAACAGTTCTGCAGCCAGTTGCATCTTTTGGATCCACGCTGTTGAGGGATGCCAAGCAGAGAAAGTACCCACTTCTGTTCCTATACACTGACACCCACAAACAGGAGGGTGGTGGGAGTACATATGGTTTGCCTGATTCAGTTGACAACTGTGTATAAACTGTCACTGTCTGGTCAAGACCAGAAAGAATGAGTAGAACCAGTCTTACTCACAAACACTGAAAATTTAAGGGCATAGTGGTGGTATGACCTTTTCTCGGTTTATTTGTAAAGGCAGGATTCCTCTTTAATTCTTAGATTTAGAGATCTCAATTGGCTGAAAAAGAACAATGGTACTAATTAAATTTTTAGCAAACAGATGTCTGCATCAGTTTCAAATGTATTCAGTGTCAAAACAGAACACAGAACAGGGGGGAACTCTAGTTGATAAAGAATGACATTTCCATTGCTTCAAGGGCTGCTTTTACTGCCACAAAGCAGCAGTATTGATGCCATGCTCTCTGATATCCACAGTTATTAAAAGTGGTGACAGATACTTATCTAATTAGTAATTTAATTCTTGCAGCTAACATATTCAAGATAATCACTGCAGTTTTCATCTAAGTTTACAAATAACTGGTCATTTCCAAATTACATATTCAAGCTGAAAAAGCTTACTCCAGGAACATTATGTTAACTATAAGGGGGTCCTTTACTAAAAAAATGTCCGCAGCAAAAATTCTTCTAAATGAAAGACACAAAATTATATCTACAGAATAAGTGTCCTAATTCTCAGCATCTAACACACAATTTTATAATTGTTTCTCAGAAAGTTCACTCTTGTTCAATATACAAGCATTGTTTTTATTCTTAATAACAAAGTCTTCTATGCCAAAAGCCTTAAAATGAGCCATTGCTTAATCCAAAGAGTTACTTTTTTTTTCTTTTGAACTACTTCTACAAAATTTTAAGCAGCTACTTTAAATACAGAAGATAGCTTTCCGTACTACCCTACATTTTTAATTAGGATTTTAAAAAAATTATAATAACCAAATGTTTTCAGTATTTGTGTTACTTGTAAGATATCAAACACATTTAACTAAATCATCTCTACATGGCCTTGGAGATATTTTTGCAATCAAGTTTTCATTTATAAGTTTGCTTACCGATGTTATTTTGTCATGGTTTTTCTTTAAGAATACTTTTAAATTAAAACTGAATCTGCTATATTTGCACTAACACACAGCTATATGATAGAGGACTATCCTCACTCAATTAGCTCACATTCACATCAGTTATTAGTAGACAGAAGTTTCAAAATGAAGAAAGAAATCCTGAATTTGGAGAGGGAAGAAAAGAGGAGATGGGGGAATGAAGCATTAATTTCCTAGAGTTTCTAAAACTTATAAAAAATGTTGTCAATACTATCAGGCTGACTTTATATGGGGCAAAACCAGTGAAGATTTCCCACTCTGCACAGAACTTCAATAAGCCACTTGTGAGTTATCTTAGTACAGTGTTCACTGGTGCTTCCAACAGGTGTAAGAACATGCTGGTATATGGCATTCTATAAAGTATGAGGACTATTTTCAAATAAGACATGGTTTCAACTAGACAGTTATGAAACCAGTGTGAAAAAAACTACATTTACTCTATAATCAGTTCTCTGAGTCACAGAAAGAAGGGGAAAAAACTACAAGGAAAAAAAAAAATAGCTGCTCACCATCAGCATCATCCCAAAAGAGAAAAAAAAATAGAAACCCAGTTGCTCCTTGTCACAGTTTTTCTCTGGCTAGTTTGCTGTAAGCTACAGATACACGTTCAATATTATAGCTTCAATAATTACCAGTAAAAACAATGGAAGAAGAAACAAGAGCCACAAAACTGACAATTTGAATAAAGAGCTCCTGAGAACACTGCTGTTAGCTATTTGCATTTCTCACCTACATGAAGAATTCAACACAAGCCTTTTGGGAATATTCTGTCTATCCCTTGAGTGATGAAGTAGGAAAAGGATTTTCAATTGCTAGTCAAAAATTTTACTTTCACACTTTTCTATTTTGAATGTAAGGCCAAGTAAGTCTATAATAATTTAGTATGTTGCCTTCTAACTTGCTACCATTTTTTCCTCATTACAAATTACGTTACATATTTTTTTATATATATATATATATAAAATTTTCTTCACAAAAGACATCTTTTCAAGCATTCTAAACTTCTACTGACATTTAGAGAAAAATTCATCATTTCCATCATTTTTTAAAATGTACAGGAAGAAATTTACTACCTTCAGATGGCAATTTTACAGTGTCATAAATCCTCTTGCCATCAGGTGGGGAATGTAATTTTGAGAAGGGTGAAGTCAGCTAAGAGAGGCCACTTTCATGTGTAAGCTCTCTCATCAGTGTAATCTCAATATTTTTATTTTCTAGTCCAAGCATTGCCTGTCTCTGCCCAGAAAGTTCCTCTATATTCATATAATTTAGTCTATAGAGAGGCAAAACTAATCCACATTCAGTGACAGGCCACTAACAGTTGTAGGATACAGCTGACTATATAATGCCTGCCTTGTGTTTTTCTTAATGTTTTTCAAAAAAACCTAAACACTAGTTTGATGTGGAAGAACACTCTTCACTGCAACTAGTAATAAATTTGTGTAAAGTGTCTCAATCTAAAACATC